ATATTATTACTTGAGAAGCAAGTTAGACTATGGTTTAAAGTGATAATGGTTGATTACCTTTTACTCTTCATATAAAATTACTTTAACTACCCTTAATAAAATAGAATTGATTTAATTACCTTAATTAATAAAACTGATTTTTGGAATAGTTATTTTTGTTAATATTTACGGGTTTAACGGTTTGACTCAAATAATTCAGTTTGTTATTAATATCTTCTAGATAAATGGTTTGGTGTTGCTCGCAATATCTCGGTTATTGTTTGGGTTATCAGTATTACCTTTAAAAATAAATAAGTAAATAGTAATAATAACATAATTTGTTGGTGACAAATCCTAAATATTATCATAAAGATTTTTAAGTAACCCTAATTAAATCCTAGCAGCCATAAGTCTCTTTTTTTAATTTCTGTCTTTTGACCGCTGATCATGAGCACCTTTCTTCTAACTAGAAAAAGAAGCAAAAGAAGAATGGGGTTGAATGGTATGTAGTTTATTCATGTTTTCACGTTTTGAAAACGTGATTCATACCATTTATAATATTAAGCATTGAATGATAAAAAGTAAAAATTAACAAAGTAATTTTTAATTTATCCCGTACGTTTTAAATTTATAACTAGTTTAAGAAAAAATATATTCATCTAATAGATATTATTTTTTAGCGTTTTGAGTTTCTTCAATTTTTAATTTACTCATCCTATTGATTCTGCTAATTTATTATTCAGCTATTCTGCTATTAAATTCATATACCAGTCAAACCCAATGTGTAACACCAATTCCGCCTTCGAGATGAAAACAATGTTCCTAACCGTGCTTTCCAAGGTTTGGATCTATAATAAATTATGACTTCATTAATCTCTCTTCCCTAGCACTATGGTTTTTGTTTTTGTTTTTTTTTTTTGCTGCATTGTTGGCTTCAATGATGCCTTCGAATCAGATCGTCTATAATATATATGGAGAGGATCATTAAGATGGATTATTCGTAAGACAAGATAAATTGTACGAATATACCGTCGAATATTTGTTTCATGAAGAAATAAGAGCACGAAGAACAAAGAAGATTATAGAAGAAAGACAGCCAAAGACAGAGACACATATTTTTATCGGAAAAGAAAAAAGCAAAGACGAAAACTAAGACAAAGAAGAACAATTCATAATGAAGAAGACGAAAACGGACATGAAGAAGAAGAACACGCTGTGTTCACTAAACATGAAGAAAACTAAAGAGAACACGAAGACAGACTAATTTTCAGAAAAGGAAGCATTGTATCCTTTTCCCCCGTTTTTACAACTTGATATTGATGTTGAACATTATCATTTGTTTCCAGATAATTAAATGGATTATTGGTGGTTGTGGGCAATCAGACAACGGAAGTATTGGAGTATTCATTTGGATCTGGAAGTTACAACAAGGAGGATTATGGGAAACTTGGGTTGGAAGCAGGTAACTTATGATCTAAACACATTTTGATGTGATATAGTGTCCCTTTAATTATGAGAATTATTGGGAAAATGCAAATGCAGGCTAAGACGTTCAGGAGAAATAAAAAAAGGTTTGGTTGAATGGATACAAGATTTTTTTTTTCTGTCTCTTGTAAGTATCTATATATTGCTTGAGGAAACATAATGACAATAAACAAGTTGGTTTGGATTTTTATCGGGATGATAAATAAAAAGAATCTCTACACATGGGTCTGTATGGATTGGGATACTAATTCATGGTTGGTTACTATCCATGTTTGTCTCTTTCATATTAATCTTCTCTATAGATGGGAGAGGAAAATCACTATCGGCGAACTCCAGTTCTTTTTACACCACCTTATGGACGTAAATTAAGGAGCTCATTAAACAAAATACAATCCATTTACTTATGTTTTTTAATTGATCACTTCTACGAGGAAGCTCCATTCATGACCAAATTATCAAACTGATATTTTGTTCACTTCAATCTCTCCAATTATCATTGGATCTATGCCCCGATTTTTTTTTTTTTTTTTATCTCTTTTAAACCTGTTCTCTACTTTTTTAAAAAGGTTTCTTATTATTCATTGACATATTGACATTAGGAGGCGACAATATATATCCACTGAAGGCCGGAGATGCTTCTTAATGCCCTTGGTATGTAGAGACTAGAGTTTTGCACAAGTACTTTTCTTGAGGATTGGACTTGATTCTAATAGAACCTTCCAAATGATGTCAAAGGTTGGTTTTGATTTGATGAAGATGCATAAGATCGAGAAGAAGCAGAATAAGGCAGCTAATCGACGAAGCAAATGAATAAGAAGTAATTTGGATAAAATATACTACTTGGAGATTTGTAAGTTTAAGATTTTTGTTTCAATGTTTTTTATTTCTTTGTTGTTTGTTTGTATTATTTGAATTTAATTTGAATTCGATATTTTGCTTTAATTTGCTAGGGTGCGTGGTAATTTTTTTCCAAATACAGGAAACAACTACTATCAAAGACAAAATCATTAAAATTGAAAGGTTCTATTTTATAATTTTGTAATGGTTGTAGTTTGAATTTTTAAATTTTAGAGCCAAGGGCGTGGTTTTCATTTATTTCGGTTTGTAATTTGGAGAAAAGAAAACGGCCACAAAGCATAAAAGATGAAAGAAGTAGGCCATAAGAGATATTAAAGCCATGTCAATATTTTTATATCACATTTTACCAAAAACAAAATAAATATATATTTTCATATCACTTTTTCTTATTATAGTCTTTATATCATGTTTTTATGTTTCTATCTATTAATTTTGGTTTTAACTAGTGATCATAAAAGTAACAATAGGAATGAATAGGAAAATGAATAAAAAGAATAAAATAATAGGAATTATTGTTCCTTCTCATTTTTTATAAAAAATATATTAACATTATAGTTCCCTAAAACATAAAGAATGAAAAGGAATCATATGTACAATATATTCTTTTTAAATGGTATAATTTTTAAAGAATGATAAGAAATTTAGTATTCTTTTCCATTCTTTATGTTCACCAGTTAGAGCCTTTGTCTTTTGTGTCATATCAAACTCTCTACTAAATATTTTTAAATTCATGTCAAACAAATTGGAATTCATCTTTATTATTTCTGATGTTAGTAATAAAACAAATTTTGAGCCTATTGATTTTTATTATGATGCTCAAAAAGATGATTTTACAGGTAATAATGTTCTTCACTTATACCTATCAGTGAGATATGTTGTTCATATGGACTATATATGGGGCTTACATATTCAGTTTGCTCCGTCGTCTGAGTGGGAGCAATGATTTAATTGGGGTTGCATATTCGGTTATGAGAGTGATAATGACTATATATGAGGTTTACATATTCAGTTTCCTAGCTGTATTTCATTTGCTAAATCTAAAAACTCTATAGACCAAACAAATTGTAGGCAAATTATCAAGCTCAATGATATATGATATTATGATATATGACATACATACATATTATTATAATCACCCATATTTAACTATATAATTACATAATTTCTTAATATTATTAAGTAGAGGTTATTAGTTCTATGATTTTAATAGATTTAGAAAAATCAATTAAATTCAATGTTATTGGTTCTATGATTTTAAAATTCACATTCAAATTCAGTGTTATTGGTTCTATGATTTTAAAATCTGTATTCAAATTCTAGGTTATTGGTTTATGATTTTAAAATCATGGATTTGATTTAAAGAGGATTTTTGTGGATTTGGGAGATTTTCATGTTAAAAATACAAAGACTCAAATCTAGGAATGCGCAAAAAAATCCAACCGAAGTGAATTAACTCAAACCAACCAAACCCGAACCGAATCAAACCGAACTGAAGTCTATGTCAAAACATTTTGGTTGGGATTTCTATCAACCCGAATGGTTCGGTTCGGTTACCGAACCGAACCGAAAACCAATATGTTTTCTTAATTGTTAATTATTAAATTTCTAGTTTTTCTTTTGTTTACATTTGTGTTGATATTGATTTGTTGCATGTTTTTTTTAGGCTGCAGAGGCAAGATAGATACTATGATATGATGAAATTGGGTGTTTTGGTTTTCTTTTTAGTTAAGTATGATTTTGAATTGGAGTTTTTTTGAGTTTTACGAGTTTTGTTGTTTAAGACAGTTTATATTTTTATTTTGATTTCAACGTTATGTTTAGTATTTACGCAAGGTTTTGTTTTGCAAACTATTAAGTATTAACCAAACTAAACAAACCAAACCGAATCAAACCGAACCATATTTAAACCGAATCGAACCGAAGCCAAAACGAATTAATTTTGGTTGAGTTCAGTTAGAATTTTAGTATAACCAAACAAACCGAACTGAACCGAATCCGAACCGAAACCATAAGTAAACCGAAATGCCCACCCCTATTCAAATCTAAGGTTAAACCTATGATTTTGTAAAATCAACATGTTAGATATAAAAATCAATAAATTTAACAAAGATTATATAGATTATTAAATCAACTAAATACATAAATCGATAGCACCCGCTAAAAATTTATTATATGAATTAATCTTACAAAATGATTTACCCGCGCAAGGCGCGAGAAACTACCTAGTTAATAATAAATAATATAAGCTCATAATTAAATGAATGATAATTGATATCAAAATATAACTACAAAATTTTTGATTAAGGAATTTGACGACATCTAAAAAAAACTTCACAACCAGGATTGTAATTGTTAGCCAAAAATTTGACACACTCCTTTGGATTTTTGAAACTGCATCCTAGAATGCTATCTTTTATTTAACTCCATATCCCAAATATCTGACCACATCATCTGAGTACTTTTCCATGTGTTTTTCAGACTCGATCGCAACATCCGAGTCTTTCATAGTTCTTGCTTCAACAGTTTCATAAAGCACTAATGATATAATCATTATGGTAGCAAATAATAAAACAGTGAGACTTTTATATGAAGCCATTGCTTTTTTCTCTTCTCTTTGCTTCTTTTCGCTAGAATTTTCTATAAAAATATGTAATTGTGTGTAACGTGTTAATACAAAGCTCACAAGCCCGGTTCCCAATGCAGAACCGCTGGTTCTCTCATGGTCGTGCTTCCGTCCTGAATCTTCCGTCTCTCACCGTTGGTGATAGTATCTTACCTCCTCTCCTTGTCCCTACTGATCCCCCTGACCCTTCTACCTCTCTTTCGATTTCCCATTTTCCTCCTCATTCTTCTCCTCGAAACCATAAACTTAGGTCTCCTCCACGTACTGCTCCTACTATGGCGCCTGTGGGTCAAGCCTCTACTCAGATCTCTTTTATTGCTGTAACTACTGATGTCGAGATGACTCAGTTGGAAACTGTCTCTCCAAAGGTTTCAGATTCTAGCTCTTCAAAAACTAGATCTGAAAATACTATTCCTGCAAAGTATACTGTGCTGGAACCTAAACCAATTTCACCTCTCCAAACAAATAAAGCCCAACACAATCCCCTTTGCCAAATCCTACTTTCCCAACCATTCCTACTACCGCTGATGTTCAAGCACCAGCTCCCCCCAACACTCAACCATCTTCTCAGTCTGTTCATCCTCCAAATGTTAACCAAACTGCCAATCATCCAACTTTGGCTGAAAGAATAAGAGTTTTTGAAGACCGCTCTCTGCGCAGGTTAGCACGTATCTCCTACTCAGACACTGGCAGACCTAGAGTTCTCATTCCTGATGAAGTATTCCAGAGAGGCGAAGAGTGACACAAGGACTTCTTAATCTGCTAAGAGCTCCACCTTACAGCCAAATTCAAAACAATCTTAACCACATGTGGGGTAAGGGCAGAAAACTAGAAATTTATAATAACCCTGTAGCTAGATCTATGATTGTGTGAATTCCGAGTGATTACCTGAGGATTAAGATTCTTGAAAAGGGCCTCTGGTATGTCGGTGATTCAATGTTCCATGTGACTCAGTGGACGTCGGCGCATTCGTCTGCTTCTCCACCTTTTGAGTCAATTCAATTATGGGCTCATCTCACGGGAGTTCCTTTGGACCTGCGTCACCAGCAAGGTCTTAGTTTGGTGGCTGGTTTGGTTGGTGAACCAATAGAAACTGATGAGTTTACTAAGAATTTGGTTAGCTTAACTCTCTCTCACTTGAAAGTTGAAGTTAACCTTACTAAGGACCTTCCTCAGCTGGTTGAGTTTGTATGACAAAGTGGAGAAGTTGTTGAAGTCCTTGTGGACTATCCGTGGTTGCCCCCTACCTGCTCTCACTGTAAGGAGTTAGGCCATATTGTTCGTAACTGTTTACTGCTACCACCACCTCCTCGGACTGCTGCTCCTCCCCCCAAGAAGGCTCAAAAGAAGTCTGCTCCTATCTCGAAGTCAGTGGATTCAGTTCATAAAGCGGCTACTGAAATTCCAAAAGATTCTGTGGTGAATGATAAAGAAACTGATGTGGTTGCTGATAAAGTTAATTTCGTGGTTAATGAGAACATTCAAACAGAGGCACCTTTGCAAGTGGACATTACAGCTGAATGTTGATCCGAACTCTAACGGAGTGTCTTCCAAAGTGGTGCCACCAATTCCTCGATCTTCCTCTTTGCCTCCTCGTGTTCCTGTTCATCTTCCATTTATAGTAGCTCTTCCTGCTACTATAACTCCCTCAGGAAAGCCTTATCCTTACAGTCCTCCTGAATCAACAGAAAAAACTTCTTTAAAACGTTCTCGTTCAAATCCATGTCTAAACACATTTCCGTTGTCCTTTCCTCATTTTGAATCCCTCTTAAATCCCCTACTAAATATTCCCTCTATTCCTTCAGAAAGTCCTATCTCCACTACTTCTGTTTCTATTTTTGGAGATTCTCTCTCTTCAGGGAAATCTTGTCCCCCTTCCTAATGTGTTCGAAACTAATTTTTTGGAATGTTCATGATTTAAATGATCCAAACAAGCATCGGCCTTTTTGTCAATGGCTTACTAGTCACCAGCCTATTTTTGGAGAAATTCTAGAAACTCATATTAAAGATCTTACTTTGAACCAGCTTATGTCTACTCTTTGCCCTAGATGGAGATTTACCTCTAATCATCTGTCAGATGGAGATGGTTGTACAATCATCATCTGGAGAGCTCCTGCAACTGTCCGGATGCTGCATCAATCGAGACAAACTTTTACTTGTGAAGTGAGCCTTTTAAACTCCAACCAGTTTACATATACAGCGGTTTATGCTTCGAATTCAAGCTCGGAGAGAACTGACCTTTGGGTGGAATTGCTAAATCTTCAACAGTCTCCCTCTCTTCAAGCTGGCCCGTGGATGATTGGTGGTGATTTTAATGAGATCATACATCATGCGGAACATTCAAATCCAGTCATGAATTCACTCAGCGCCCACATGATTGACTTCATAGATTGTCTTTCTCAAATGGGCATGTTTGACTTGCGATTTCAAGGACCTCGTTATACTTGGACAAATTGCCAACCTGATTCCCCTGATGCAAAAAGCTTGACCGGTTACTAGTGAATTATCATCTCATTAACTAATTCCCCTTACATATGACCATAGCCCTTGCCTTATTGACCTAGTCTATCAGCTCCCTAAAGTCGGTACTCGTCCCTTTAAATTCTTCAACTACCTTACAAAGCATCCAAACTTTCTCAGTGTGTTGCAAGAGGCTTGGATTCAGGCCGGAAGATTTGGTTCTACTCTCACTTACCTGTGCTGGAAACAAAAGATCATCAAGGGAGCATTAAAAGAGCTAAATCGAGAGAATTTTTCTCAAATAGAAAAGAGAGTTAGTGAGGCAAACAGTTTGTTACAAGATGTGCAAGTACAAGCTCTTCAGGTTCCTTCTACTGCCCTTTTCCAGCAAGAGAGGGACCTTCACGATAAATGAAACTTTCTGAGGCTCATAGAGGAATGCTACTTCAAGCAAAAATTAAGAATCAACTGGTTACAGGAAGGGGCTTCTTACTTTCATCGGGTTGCCCAGGCAAGAGAAAGCTTCAACTCTATCCGATCCTTTCTTCTTGCCTCAGGTGTAGTGCTTTTTGACCTTTTGGAGATGAGTATTCATGCCATAAACCACTTTAAATCCATCTTTGGGCCGAACATGCTTCCTCCCATTCGAATCTCATCTCCGGTAGAATGGTTCCAGTCACTGTCTAGCTTTAGATGTTCTTCAGCTCAAGAACTAGCAATGACAACGATTCCTTCTGTGGAGGAGATTACAAATGTTCTCTTCAAACTAAACCCTAATAAGGCTCCAGGTCCTGATGGTCTCTCCTCCGGATTTTACAAAGCAGCTTGGAATATCCTCGGATTGGAGGTCACAAGCTCCATATCTCACTTCTTCCTTTCAGCTTTCATGCCTGCTTCAACAAACTCAACGATCCTTGCCCTCGTTCCTAAGCATCCAGGTGCCTCAAGAATCACTGACTATAGGCCAATCTCTTGCTTAAATACCTTGTACAAGGTGATCTCGAGGCTATTGGTGTCTCGCTTGAAGCCTCTGCTCTCCTCATTGATTCTCCCTAATCAAACATAATTCGTCAAAGACATATTACTTGTGGAAAATACAGTGTTAGTGGCAGAATTGGTGAATGGTTACCACAAGGATAAAGGCCCAAAAAGATTTACCATACAGGTAGACATTGCCAAGGCGTTTGATAGTGTCTCTTGGGAGTTTCTCTTTAGCTGCCTTGAAGGGTTACAACTTCCTCAAGAATATATCAGTTGGCTCAAAGCCTATATCTGCACAACTAACTTCACAATCGGTTACAATGGTACAGTACCAGGCTATTTTAAAGGTAAAAGAGGGCTAAGGCAAGGAGACCTTCTGTGAAGACCCGACCGTCTATCACTAGACCGGCCCGAACCTCACTGAATCTTCTCTCGGCCAGAATACAAAAACATGCATATTTTAAAAACTTTTCTTAAACTTAAACAAGTTCGATTCATCAAAAGACATTCATTCCCATTGCATAATTATTCCAGAAACACTTAACAGAATTCAGATTCAATAATAGAAAACAAAACTTATCAGATTCAGTTTAACTCAGAAATGCTAACATCAAAGCCATAAAACAGAAAGTTCAGAACATGAATCCCCCGGTCCTAATCCACCCCTTATCTTCACTGTCTTCCAGTCCGCCTTCAGAGCTACTCGCCCTGGACCTTATCTTTACCTGCACACTCAAAAAGAGAGGCATAAGTATTTGATAAATACTTAGTGAATATGGTCATCCCGTAACACCTTAGTCAGTACAAGAAAACGCATCATACTATCAGTTATACAATTCACATTATCACTTAGCAAGCAAGCACAGAAAACAGTACTATCCTATGATTATCTCAACTACGTGTAAAGTCTCACATAGCATCGGTTCTACTCCAAGCGAGAACCACAGACCCCCTTGAGCAGTAACTCGATCCGGACATTCACACAGCTTGTTAGACATCATGTATTGACCACGGTTCACACTTAACCATTCACAATCACAGAAACATTGACCTTGCTAAGCAAAAACCACTAACTTGCACAAGCAATCAATGAAAATCAGATAACATAGTAATCAAACGATTCTAGATACAGACCACAGTCACACACTCACCTTAGACACAGAAAAAACGTTTCAGTCGAATGAATCTCGGTGATTTCTTTATCAGAAATAGAGATAGTCAGACACACTTGCGATTTCTCGGCTATCGCTCAGACTGGTCCGACAAAATCTCAACACCTCTCGGCTATCTCTCAACCCGTGCACTTTTACTCGGGCAAGAACCTGTATATCCCCGGAAACAATATAAAACAGAACTATTAGTCCAACGTTACCCGACGGCAACTGGACACTAATCAAAATATCTGAACACTTACCAAATTCTCTTGAACGAATCGAAGTGCTCTCGGATATCTCACGATCCGCTCAGAACTCCACGGATGAACTCGGTTATTCCCTCGGAAAACCCTCAAATCAGAACGAATGGTTGGATCAGATTGACAGAAACTTGGACAGAACACTCGATCTCTCGGTGATAGTCGGAATCACCAGCAAAACTTTGATCTTTCTCGGCTACCTCTCGGGATAATCAGAAACTATGGGATTTCCCTCGACTAATCTCTCTCTCACACGTTATTTCTCTCAAATAATGCGGCTCTCTCGAGAAAAAGTCTCAAAATCCCTTTTATATACTCACAAAACCTAGTCAACCCGGTTATAACCGGCATCTCTCGGTTCCAGTCAGGTTTATCCCGATTAGCTTTAAGTTCTCTCGGCTATCGCCTAAACCGCTTGAACATCCACGCGAGAAACTAGTTTTTATCCGACCAAATTTTCAGCTCACGGGCCCAGCCTATTTTTACTCGGCTAAAATCCTTTCTCTCGAACATAGTCCACTTTATCTCGGATATAGTCCACTTTCTCTCGGACATAGTCCATCCTGCTCGGCCAGCTCGGCCATCCGTCGACTATTTCTCAGTCATCCCTCGACTATAGACTGAACCTCCCCTCCATACGGATTTTTTCCTTGACTGAACTCACATTCCTTCGGACAACCTCCTATCCGGCTCGATCATTCCAGATTTTCTTGGATACGGATGCTACAACTTTCCCCCACTTTGTTTGGATTCGCCCTCGAATCCGGTTGTTCTTCCTGATGTTTCTCAAACCATTTCGGGAACCTTGTACTCATCTTAGACTCTACTTCCCAAGTAGTTTGCTCATCCCCATTACAGTCCCAGATAACTTGGATCATCTTGACCCTCTTAGCACGCTTAAGCTTTTCTTTCCTGTCAACCACTCGGATCGATCTACCTTCCACGGTCAGATCCTCTTGCAATTCCGAAGGTGGTTCAGATAACACAGTCTCACGTTCGGTTATGTGCTTTCTCAGGTGCGACACGTGAAACACATTATGGTAAGCACTCATTTCCGGCGGTAAGTCCAACTTATATGCCACTGCTCCAATCCTTTCCAGAATCTGGTACGGTCCCATGTACCTCGGATTCAACTTAGCATCAAACGTGGCTTGGCTTTTCCCCTTATAGGTCATAGCCTTCAGATACACCAGATCACCCACACTGAACTCTAAATCCTTATGGCGTTTATCAGCATAACTCTTTTGTCGGTCTTGAGCCTCTTTCAGCTTAACCTTCAGAAACCCGATCTTTTCAGTAGTCTCTTCGACTATAGCAGATCCTAACTCGCTCTGCTCCCCCACTTGGGTCACACATAGCGGTGTTCTACATGGCCTTCTGTACAACGCTTCATACGGAGACATCTCAATGCTCCTATGGTAACTGTTGTTATACGCAAACTCAGCCAACGGTAGATAACTTTCCCAGTTACCACCCCAGTCCAGTATGCACGCCCTCAGCATGTCCTATAACGTCCTGATGGTCCTCTCAGACTGACCATCCGTTTGTGGATGATATGCAGTACTTATATGCACTTTCGTCCCAAACTCTTTCTGAATCTCTTTCCAGAATCGTGAAGTAAATTTCGGATCACGATCATACACAATGCTCGCAGGCACTCCATGAAGCTTGACGATCTCATCGACATACAACTCCACCAGCCTAGCCACTCCATGCGTTTTCCTCATAGGCAAGAAGTGAGCAGACTTGGTCAGCCTATCAACAATGACCCAAATCGCATCATGCTTCTTCAGAGAGCTCGGTAAACCCAACACAAAATCCATTGTGATCATGTCCCATTTCTATTCTGGCATTGGTAATGTTTACAACAAATCACTCGGAACCGGATTCTCAGCCTTAACCAGCTGGCATGTCGGACAGCTAGCCACCCAATTGGCTATGTCCCCCTTCATCCCGACCCAATGATAGTAGCTTTTCAGATCCTGTACATCTTGGTCATTCCCGGATGCACAGAAAACCTCGACTGATGTGCTTCCCTCAGAATTTTCTCCCTTAACTCTTTCACATTAGGAACACACACTCTTCCATTCACAACAATCTTCCCATTTTTGAAAGTTTGATTCTCGGTCTTGTCACTCTGTGACACCTTATTCAGATTCTCATCCTCATCTTGAGCCAAACGAATCCTTGTTAACAAGTCAGCTTGATCTGCAGCTACCAAACCTAACGGTTCCAGTTCCTCAGACAAAACGTTCAATCTTAACGTCCTTAGGAGATTCTCAACTCCTTCCACATCCTTTGCAGAAGATACACTAGCCCTCCTCCGGCTTAACACATCAACAACGAGATTAGCCTTTTCCGGATGATAAGCTATCTCTAAGTCGTAGTCAGTGACCAACTCCATCCATCTCCATTGCATCAAATTCAACTCAGGTTGAGTGAAGATGTACTTCAAACTCTTATGATCGGTAAACACCTGAACTTTCCCACCATACAAGTAAGATCGCAATATCTTTAATGCAAAGACTACAGCCGCCATCTCCAAGTCATGCATAGGGTAGTTCGCATCATGCTTCCTTAGCTGTCTTGAGGTATATGCAATCACATTCCCATGCTGCATTAGGACACGACCTAGTCCTTTCCCAGAAGCGTCTGTGTACACCACATACGGTTCATCCGGCTCAGGTAAAGCCAATATTGGTGCACTTGTAAGCATTCCTTTTAGCTTTAAGAAACACTCCTCACACTCAGCCGTCCAAACGAACTCAACATCCTTACCAGTTAGACGTGTCATTGACTGAACCATACTTGCAAAGCCTTTCACAAAAACGCCTGTAATAGCCAGCCTAACCTAGAAAACTTCTTATCTCAGACCGATTCTCAGGTCTTGGCCAATCCGCAATAGCCTTGATCTTTTCAGGATCCACGGACACTCCCTTGTCCGATACAATGTGACTCAAAAACCCAATATGCCGTAGCCAGAAGCTACACTTACTCAACTTAGCAAATAACTTCTGTTCCCGCAACTTCTCTAGAACAATCCGCAAATGCTTCTCATGCTCTTCCGGAGTCTTTGAATACACCAAGATGTCATCTATGAAAATAATCAAAAACTCATCCAAGTACTCCCTGAACACGCCATTACTCAGCTTTATGAATGCAGCTGGCGCATTCGTCAAACCAAACGGCTTGATCACAAACTCGTAATGCCCATACCTTGTCCTAAAGGTAGTCTTTCGAACGTCCGGTTCGTTTATTGGTATTTGATGGTACCCAGAAGCCAAATTAATCTTTG